GTCCAAGCGATACACCTACCTCCCTCTCCCAAAGTGCTGGGATTACAGACATGCACCACTGCACCCAAGCACTTTTTCAAACATTTCTGCCTTAATCTGTAAGGTTACATCACACCAGCACACTTACAAAAACTTTTGCAATTTAAACACATATCATTTAAAAATTTACTATGTGAAGCACTCTAGGTTTTTTTTTTCTTTTGAGATGGAGTCTTGCTCTGTCACCAGGCTGGAGGGCAGTGGCGCAATCTCAGCTCACTGCAACCTCCACCTCCTGGGTTCAAGCGATTCTTCCGCCTCAGCCTCCCGAGTAGCTGGGACCACAGGCACGTGCCACCACGCCTGGCTAATTTTTTTGTATTTTTAGTAGAGACGGGGTTTCACCGTGTTGGCCAGGATGGTCTCGATCTCTTCACCTCGTGATCCACCCGCCTTGGCCTCCCAAAGTGCTGGTATTACAGGCGTGAGCCACCGCACCGGCCAGCACTCTAGGTTTTTAAAAACCTGATCATGACCCAATATACTAATTTTATAACCCACTTACAAACTTTAGTCTGCAGTCTGAAAAAATTACCCTAGAGCGTCTCTTGTAATTGTGTGCTGGAAAATATGCATTAAAATGTTTATGGTAGTACTTTAATATCAAAAAACTACAAACACAATCCAAATATCCACTATTAGTACAGATTTTATCAAATAGTGAAACAGCCTTTCAGCAGGAAGACAAAAGAAGAATGACAGTAATACAACCAACATGCATTAATCTAAGAAAAAGCAGACTGAATTTAAAAAAAAATTTCTGCCAAAGAATGTTAATAAAGTCACATTGCATGGCAATTTCAAAATGTGCAAGAAACCAACACATTTAAGATCCTTTTCTCCAAGAAAATGGGATGAAACTGCAGAGGGCACAAAGGGAAGTTTAAAGGTAACAGTAACATACATTTTTTTTTTTTTTTTTTTTTAAGCGGATCACCTGAGGTCGGGAATTCATAACATACATTCTTAAACAGGGTGAGTTTCCACTGTTCATCATCATCATCATCCTCATCATTATTAATGCTGATTTTAGAGATGGGGGTCTTACTCTGTCACTCAGGCTGCAGTGGCATCATCACAGCTCACTGTAGCCTTCCAACTCTTGGGCTCTCAAGCAAGCCTCCTACCTCTGCCTACCAAGTAGATGGAACTACAGGTGAGTGCCACCACACTCAGCTCATTATATTGTTGTTCTATATAACTTTATGTCTATTTTCTCATATATTCAATATTTAATGAGAAAAAAAGTAATGAAATTATGAGTATTCATTACCTTTAGAATGAAAACTTAAAATGACATTTTGAGAAATAGGAACAAAAAGTCCATTTTTCTATAGCCAAGTTATTGTTTTGTTTTGTTTTGTTGTTTTTTGAGGATGGAGTCTTGCTCTTGTTGCCCAAGCTGCAGTGCAATGGCACAACTTGACTCACTGAAACCCCCGCCTCCCAGGTTCAAGCAATTCTCCTGCCTCAGCCTCCTGAGTAGCTGGGATTACAGGCATGCACCACCATGCCCGGCCAATTTTTCTATGTTTAGTAGAGACGGGGCATGGTGGTGGCTCACGCCTGTAACCCCAGCACTTTGGGAGGC